AACGTAACGTAACGTAACGTAACGTAACGTACGTAACGTACGTACGTACGTACGTACGTACGTACGTACTACTACTACTAACTAACTACTACTACTACTACTACTCTCTCTCTCTCTCTCTCTCTCTCTCTCTCTCTCTCTCTCTCTCTCTCTCTCTCTCTCTCTCTTCCTTCTTGATTATGTTTTCTAGTTGTTTGCTCCTATGTTTTCTCATCGACAACCTCAGGGTCAGGCCAGGATAAAAAATAACCCATAAGCCCCCCAACCCGAGGCCTCTTAGGTCCCTCACCCCCCAGAACTAACTAAAACTCCCTTTCTTTTCCCCATAGGATGAGACATAGCAAGCCGCCTCACTTCATCGCACCCCTCCTCATCACTATCATCATCAAAATTAACACAAACCCCAGACCTTAGCTTTGCTATGCATGCCTCCCTTTCCTCTTTTTTTTCTTTTTACTATATTCATATAATTTTTTATCTCCTCCTTAATCCCATCAGTAACTTTTTTACAATTGGCAACCTCCCCCCAATATCAGCAAGATGCTTTTTAACCAGTTTATACCCCCATTGTATTCTTCTCATAATAATTGCATCTTATGCAATTTTTATCTAAAGGATTCAGGTTACAGTCATATTTCCAACCCAGAACACCACTTCCATTAGTATCCGAAGAAGACATCTCAAATTAATCTAAGCAATCTGAAAAACAAAATTTTTTCACTAACCTTGATTGCTCAATCTTCAAACTTCCACCTTTGAGATGTTTTCAATCTCAAAATATTTTAAAAACCCTCTAATGAGCCTAAAAAATCTCCAAAAGTAAATCCAAACTCAAAGGGAGATGTTTGGATCGATTTCTCGAAACTTTGATAAATCCTTCGATCTTATGGAAACCACCAAATCTCAACTTTTTGAAGTTTTTCTCTCTCTAAAATAATTCAAATGGGGTTTAGGTTGCATATGAACCTAACCCCCCCCCCCCCCCAACCCTTTTACAACCTAAACAAAAAACACTCAAAAAGCCCCTCCACGAGGGGCATTTTCGCCCCTAGGGGGCCGCCCAAGGCTGGGCACTAAGCACCCACCTAAGCAAGCACCTAGGCGCCTAGGCAGCCGCCCAGGGACCCTCGGCCCAAGAAGCCTGCCTGGGCCTGGGCGATGCACCCAACCACCATGGAGCTGCTTTTTAAAACACTAATCTACACATGCAATAACCACTATACCCCTTACTGTTATTGACTCATTTAAACACAATTCATTCTCCATGCAAGTGCCTGCAAGAGTCCCTACAGAAAATTTAACTTGATTCAGATGATCTTCAAGTCCACAAAACCAACAGCTCAACCCAGGACTAAAAGAAAAGAGGGAAAAAGGAAATGACCGAGTCAAAAATTCAACACTCATTCAACTTGCATTGTATCAAAACTCACATTTTGCATAGATCTCATTGACTGTGTTGAAGTCCTTGATGTCAGCAAGCCTGTCCAAAAACCATTCCTAAGTCTTTTTTTACCCTATAACTCTTTCAAGATAAAATAATAGAGAAATATAATGATGTACAAATACATACCAGACTGTTGCCTTCACAACTGAAGAATAGTTTGCACCACTAGCTTTCAAAAGTTCTCCAATATTCTTAAGAGCCTGAAATGTTTCCAAATGCAAATAAGGAAGCAACACTTCTGAGTAAACCATCAAGTCACAAGGGCATAAAATCACAAGTTCATAAAGATAACCAGGCCGGACTATTCTTCTTATTACATTTATCATAGAAACAAGAAATCATGGGAACAAGTAGCAATTCAAAAGAATCCAGTTGACAAATTTTATAAGTAACTAATCTGGTGTTGTATTTGGTAATGATACCAAGGAGCACGAGGGTAGAATTAAGCTCCTGTTACAGCACAAAATGTCTATATCAGAAAGCCAAGTGACTTTGCTCACTAAGTCATCTTTCAGTGGAAACTAATGCAAATAAATTATGAAGGCTATCTTTAGGATATCCTCCAGACTCATTCTCCTTCGAAAATGTAAATTTCATGAATACATTATATTGGTGGGGTCTAAATTTGGATTCTACAAGTTTGAAGCCACCCGCAACATCTCTGACACTTCTTCCTAATGAGGGATCAGGAACATTAAAATCCTCGCTCAGAAGTACCTTAAGAAATATCCTTTCATGGAATAAATGTTGTGCATAACCTCTGCAAGCATCAAGTTTTTGGTTATTGTTGGTTCAAAAATTGTGCTGACCCAAATTAATTGGGATACACGGTTTGGATGATGATGATGTTAGTTAAAGAATTGTTGATCCCAAATAAGATTTCCTGTTTCAAAGTTAACGTTTCAAAAAGAAAAGAAAAAAACAAAATAAGACTTCCTTTTTGATAAACCAAATAAACATTCTCTACATGCTATTATTAAATGCCAAGCATTTAGGGCCCGTTTGATAACTTGAAGTATGTTCTTATTGAGAATCTCGAAGTTCCTTCTCCCTAAGAAGCTGGATGTTCTAGCTCCTTGTACGGGAAATTACTGTGTTTGGTAACCAGCCTGGAATTTAGAGGGAGCCAGGAATCTCTTTCACAATTCAGAAAAAAATTATGAATTATGCATGTCTTTAAATTTACCAATTAAAAAAAAAATAAAAATGATTAAGATATAGTTTTAGAATAATTATACATTCTATTGTAATAACTAATAAATATAACAACATCAAACATTTTTGGAAATAACATTCTACAAGACAATGAAATGAAATTATATTGAATCAATATACATAAAAAAAATTCAAGACAAAAAATATACACTAAAAAAATCAAAATCCCTAATAAAGTTTCACATTATAAAATCAAAATATGTTTTTTCAAATAAGAGAGCATTCTTTTCCCTAAAAATGAAAATTGAACCAAGAAAAATCAAGATATTATAGAGCAAAGGAAAAAAAATAAAAAAGATCATTCTAAAACTTTTTTTTTGATAAAGTTAACATTGTATTACTTGGACATAAGCGGGAATACAGTAGATTAGAGGGAGGAGAGTACCAGGATACCCACAGGATGGGTATCTCAGTCTAAAAATTGGTCTACTGACCCTATAAAAAAATATAGCCTCTTGAAGTGGCTGATTACAAAAGGTTGAACTTTCAAAAAATGGGGCTTATAAGAACGCCCAAAAACAAGGAGGAGCAAAAAGGTGTCTATTGTCCTAGGAAACCTCTGTGGTCCAGAGCAAAAAAGGAGATGGAGCAATCAGGGTCTTCCCGATGTGATCGTTGTCGGGCTCCGTCTTTAGCCAGAAGGTCAGCAAACTCGTTCGACGTCCCCCAAGTATGCCTCCAATAGACGTTGGTATCCCTACATATGTGGTAAATTTCGTCAAAAATCTTTGATAGATACCAAGGGGGGGTAGCGGGGCCTGCTGCCCAAGATACAATATTTTGAGCATCTCCTTCCACAACTAAAGGTTGGCCCCAAAAAGGATTAAATTTTTTTAGGCCCATAAGGAGTGCCAAGGCTTCGACAAACTGAGCATCTCCATGTCTGACAAATTCGAAAAATGTCATGAGGACATTGCGGTTGTGGCCACGGAAGACCCCCTCAACTCCTGATGGGCCCAGGTTCCCTAACGAGCAAACATCGAAATTAAGCTTTATGGCATTTTCTGGGGGAGGCTGCCAATTGTGAGGTCTATGTACCTTGAGAGGTTGAAATTGGATAATATTCTCCCACTGCCCGAGAAAGGTATTCATGGCAATCCCACCAAAGATACTTTGGGTGGAAGCCCAAAAAGTTACAAGGGTTGTAACCTTGTCAAAAAGCACTGAAACTTCGTTTTTGTGTCCTTGAAAGACACTCTCATTTCTTTCTAGCCATAAGACCAAGATGGTAGCAGCAATCGTTGCCTTCCACAATATTCTACCTGCTTTGGGCCAATGACCGCCTAAGTAATAAATAACAAGTTCCTTAATCGATGATGGGAGGACCCAATGGAGACCAAACAAGTGGAGGGTAACAGTTCAAAGTTCAAAGGCCGCACTGCAATGTAAAAGGAGGTGAGGATTAGACACCTCCTCTACTAAGCACATTACGCATCTGTTTGGGAACGGCAAGCCTCTCTTTTGAAGCTGATCGAGCCTGAGAGCCCATTGACAGCAAACAATCCAATTGAAGGTTTGGACTTTTGGAGGAGCTATAGTATTCCAAACTTTGGAGAGAAGAGAGATGGGATTTAACGGGTAGCTAGGCGATTAGGTAAGTTTCTTGTAGAAAGAAGCTACTGAAAACTTACCAGATGGAGATAGAGTCCATACCAGAGAGTCATTCCCTGAAGAAGGTAGGAACACCAGGTAAAGAGCAGCCAAAAAGTTGGAGAAAGCTGAAGTTTCCTCCTCGGTGAGGTTCCTTCTAAAAGAGGGATTCGAAGTTCTACGCCCCCCTGCAAGGACCATTTCATCTGCTATGGTGGACTCTTTGTTGGATGAAAGTTCAAAAAGGTTGGGAAATAAGTCCCTAAGGGGAGCATGTCCAATCCAAAGATCAGACCAAAAGTGCGCTCTATTGCCTTCTTTTGGATGGAAGCGTAGTGATTGCTTGAAAAGAGCAAGAGAAGAGGTGAATTTCGAGCTCCTGAAGCCCTGCTACGAGAAGTCTTGTGAGGCACCCAAGTGTGGACCAAAATCTTATATTTGTTCCGAATAACCTGTGCCCAGAGGGAGTTTGGTTGGGTGGCCAATCTCCACCACCATTTCCCCATCAAAGCCAGATTGTGTTTCTAAGATCCCTGATTCCTAGACCACTTTGAGATTTGGGTAGTCGGACTCTATCCCAAGAGATGAGGTGATGTCTGGTTTTTTCTGCTTGGCCAGACCACAGAAAGTTCCTCATAAGTTGGTCCAACCTGTTAGCCACCGAAGCTAGCATGTGGAAGATGGACATTAAGTATATAGGGGAGTTTGCCAATGTAGCTTTAACTAAAGTAGAGTGACCAACCAGGGAAAGAAACCTCCCTTTCCATCCACCCAATCACCTATCAACTATGTCAATCACTTGGGCCCATTGTCTCTTTTTTGGCTTCCCTAAGCCCAAAGGCAACCCTAAAAAAGTGGTGGGTAAGTCCTCCACTAAACATTCCCAAGAAGGAATAAGGGTTCTGATTTCTTTAGTTGTAAGACCCACTCCCATCATCTTTGATTTTTCCATATTCACTTTGAAGCCTGTGGCATTCTCAAAGCATTTGAGGAAGAGTCCGAGGTTTTCGATTTCATGAGTGGCAGCATCAAGGAAGACTGAGGTATCATTTGCATATTGCAGGTGTGATACCGAAGGACCTTGTGGGCTGCAAAGAAAAGACGAGAGAAGGCCCTCCTGGTAAAGGCGAGAGATAGACCTGCTGAAAACCTCTGCAGCTATTGTAAAGAGAAAGGGAGATAACGGGTCCCATTGGCGAAGCCCCCTCGAGGCTGAAAAATATCCTTTTGGACTTCCGTTTATAAGCACCCGAAAAATGAGGGGATATACATCCTTTCATCCATTTTCTCCATCGAATTCCAAAATTCATTCTGGCCATCGTCTCATCCAATAAGGACTAGTCCACGTGGTCATATGCTTTTTCCCAATCGATTTTGAAAATCAAGCCTGGCTTCTTGGATAGGTGCCTGGAGTGAATACACTCGTGGGCAACCAGCACACCATCCAGGATCAACCTTTCTTGGATGAAAGCAGATTGGGACTGCGAAATGATCATAGAAAGGTACCCATAAATGATTTAAAGGGGGCTATGGGAAACCCATCTGGCCCCGGAGCTTTGCCTTTGGCTAATTGGTCAATGGCGCTGGAAATATCCTCTGCTAAAAAAGGTCTTTCCAACCAACTTGACCAATGATCAGGAACTGTTAGGAAGTCCAGAGTGGTCATCCTAGGCTTGTGTCCCACAGAGGCAATGTAGAGAGACCTGAAGAAATGGAGGATGGCTGTTTCGACATCATCTGGCTGGGTAAGAGAGTAATTATCCACCTTAATTGTGGATATCAGGTTCTCTCTTCTCCGGCAGTTCGCTGTTCGATGAAAGAACGCAGTGTTCTGGTCCCCTGTTTTTAGCCATTTGACTCGGGATCTCTGGTACCAATAAAGTTCTTCTTTCTTGAGTGTAGCGAGGTATTCCAACTTGGATTGGGTTCTAAGAAGTGCTTCAGAGTCAGAAAGGGGTCAAGCTTCTTCTATTCTATCAAGGCTTGTATGGAATTTAGCAAAGAGCTTTTTAACTGAGAATGATTCCCTGGTCGCGATTGACTCCAAGTTTTTTGGGACTTTTTGAGAAGCTAGATTTTGGTTTGTAGTTTGAAACCCGCTCTACCCGAGACTTGAGAAGAGAAGGAATTCCACCAACTGGGGATGAGACTCAGAAGGGAATGCTCTTCTAACCAAGCCAATTCAAAACGAAAAGGTTTTGGCCCCCTACGGACCACCTGTGTATTAAGAAGAATAGGACAGTGATCCGAGGTGGGTTTAGGCAGGGTGAGCGCATCTGAATCAGGAAAAACAGCTTCCCAATCTAGAGAAAGAAGGAAGAGATCCAGTTTAGCCAGGGAAGGCTGAACAGAATGAATGGACCACGTGAATGCATTCCCTTGGATAGGAATGTCTAAACGTTCTCGTCAAGAGATGAAATCAGAAAAATCCAATGTACCTTAGGAAATATTTTTTTTTTGAGAAAGATTAACGTTGTATTTCTATGGGAGTTTACATGAGATATGATTGAGAGCACACCCTCCCATGGTGGTTAACAGCAAAAAATACATTAAAGCATTAGTCTTCCAAGATCAATAAGGGCTTATAAGAAGCGCCCATCTTACAGGATATACAATGAGATATACAGAAACTGAGCACTGACTTGCTCAAAAAGAGAGGTGGTAGACTGTACTGTAGAGGTCCTAAACAAAAAAGGAGTTGGACCCAGTCTAAAGGTCAGTACAGCTAAGATCCTAAACAAAAAAGGAGTTTGTCCTAGCCAGGGAGTCCAAATACAAACTAGCTCCCTCCTTGGCCAATAGATCTGCTAGACTGTTGGACATCCTCCAAGTATGATGTCATAAGACGCTGGTATCCTTGCATAAGTATGAAATTTCATCAAAGATTGAGGGCAATTGCCTAGGAGGGGGGGACAAGCCTCTAGCCCAAGATATTGTGTCAGAAGAGTCTCCTTCCACTATCAGTGAAGAGCCCCATGAGTGGTTAAAGTTTCTCAATCCCAGTAAGAGAGTCATGGCTTCTGCATATTGGGAATCAAAAGTCCCAAGATGGGCCAAAGGAGAAAAGAGGACGAAGACCTGGCTGTCTCTTAACACACCCCCTGCTCCTGAGGGGCCAAGGTTGCCTAAAGAACAGCCATCAAAGTTCGGCTTGATGCCCCCCACTGGTGGGGGTCTCCACCTGCAGATTCTTGGGGGTTTGGGAGGTTTATGGTAGAGAATGTTTTGCCAATGAGGGAAGAAAGTGTTCCTGGGGATGCCCAAAAAGGCTTTATGTTGAGAAGCCCAGAAAGTGGAGATACGCTAGGAAATATTAGTGTTAAGGTTTCTCTCATGGGACCATCGGGTGATATAGAAATCACCACCCAGGCACCACGCAGTGTGAGGTAAAGCTGCAATGAAGTCCAATTCAGACAAAAGATGGGAACGGAGGGAAGCTGAATTGGGACCATAAATGGCAGAAAATTTGAGCAGCAAACCATCTGTAGCCCTAGAAAGAATGACGGTGACCGAGAAATCTCCTATGTGGGACGAAAGCAGATTAAACTCAGTTGGGTTCCAAACCACCCAAATACCACTAGAAGCCCCTGTCACCGATAATGATTCCCATTGACACGGCCTTCTGCCCTACACACTACGAATAGATTGCACGGTAGGGTTCGGCTGTTTCGTCTCAATCAATGCTAGAATCGATGGGGAAAATTTTACTGTTAAGTCTCTCTCCGATTCCCTTTTGGACTTTTGTCCCAACCCTCTAATGTTCTGAGAGAGTATCTTCATTGATAAAAGGAAGGGCAGAGGGGGAGGCTGTTCTAGTCGACCGCCTAGGATTTAGGAGGGTAGGGGTGGTGGAAGGAGAGTTGACACCAGCTGCCTGTTTGTCATAATTGATGGAAGAAAACAAGTTCAGCAGTTCTCGATGTCCTTTGACTTTCACCTTGAACATGCTTTGGACGTCCGCAAGCAAGAACCGATGTGCCGGGCCTTCTGGTCCATGATGTTCAAAGCCCATTACCCGGTAGATCGCCTTCATCTTGTCATTCTAAACTCTTTTTGCCCATTTTAAATAATTTTTCTAAAAAGTGACATTTTTTTGGGAAAACCCTAAACGTAATTGTTTTGGGCCTAGATATATGCAATAATCCATTTGGATCCATCGAATTGGATCAATTCAATTTGGCGGATTTTCAATAAGTGTAATATTACATGAAACCCTAGCAAAAAATTCAAAGTAAAAAAATATAAACAAAAAATTATTATGATACCGGTGCAAATAAATCAAGCACCTTGTAGATGAAAAACCCCATTCATTTTGATAAAATACACAAAAAATATATATATTTGGCAGATTTAAGAAATGAGTGGAAAAAACCGAATTTTTTTAAGTCAGATCCACAAAAAAGGGTAATAATCAATTGAGTTGAGCCAATAATCTTGTAATAGGCTTGATTGCAATCATTTAGAGCCAAATTTGAGAAAGATTGGTTGAAAAACAAAGGAGAATGATGCACTTTGGCGGATTTATCAGAAAATAGCAAGAAAAACCCATTTTCAATTAAAAAAAAAGGGGGGGTAATTATTAGTTAAAAAATCAAAGGAAAATGATCAAGATGAATTTATCATCCAATTTAGGGCTTCTTATATCCCTTAAATCAATTATTTCATTCACAAAAGCTGTAGAAAAATCAAATGTGGTTAAACCTCACACTCTCTCTCTAAAACCTATATTTACAGAAAGATAAAGTCAGTGGCAGAAGGTTACAGAGAGGAAGAGAGCTCAAGGAGAGAGGGTGAAGGTAAAGAAAGAACGCACGGAGGAAGAGGAAGAGGGAGGAGAGAGGAAGGGAAGAGGAAGAGAGGATTTGGGCAACGGGGATGTGTTGAAGATTGATGTCTTGTATTCTGAGGAAATAGATCTGCCAAGGTGGAGTCAAAGGGGCGACTCTGGAGGACCGTTAAAAGCCCGAAGGGCTTGAGGCCCAGGACTACATATATTTTGGTATTTTGGTAATTTGTACCATCTGCCTGGGAATATAAATATTGTTGCGATGGGGGTTCTTTTAAGGTTAAGAAAAAACAGAGATTTCTTTGTAGTACGAAAACAGAGAGAGGTGTGAGGAAGAGAGCCATTGTAACCCTATTATCCATTGCCAGTAAAGAAGCTCTCATCTCCCCATGGACATAGGCACGTTGCCGAACCATGTATATCTTTGCATTGTGGTTGGTTGTCTCTTTCTTTTGTGTTTGTTTTTTCTTTCTTGTTTCATGGATTGCTTTTCGTTTCTACAGAATGTACTTTTTTTTTTATGGGAGAAGCTGGGATTTTGAGGGGGCTGAGCGAGCAAAAAAAAAAAAAAACATAAGTGCAGCTCTCCATGGGGTAGGGAGGAAGCCCACACTTCACATTTTTTAGTGACGTGGTCTCCCCACTCCTCAAACCACACCCCTAACCAAACTTAGAACTGGGGGTAGGTATTGGAACTTCCGTCATCTAAAAACGAAAATTCTAATTGGCAAACTGGCCCTTAAAGAACCATCTTTTTCAAACAAGTTGGCAAGTTGAAACTGCATTGTGCAAGATGAGTAAATTTTTTAAGTCCATATTCTATGAGAAATCCAGGCATCATAAATGTTTGCTAAAATTAGAAAGAAAATTATATGTATGCACAAAATTTAAGTAAACTGGACAGTGAAATTCTTGTTGAAGCATATAACTACAAAATTGTAGCTATGCAGAAGAAATAGATGCTCTTTCAGAATTGAAAGTACAAACAATCAAGAACCAATTCACCTGCTCTGTCTGCTCCACTATGCCATCAGAGATGAGTTTCCCAGTCTGAGCACATGCATTAAGAAAAGTTCTTTTAAAAAAAAAATTAGCTCATGCATTAAGAAATTAGAAAGCAACTGATAAAGAAGCCTAGTCAACAGGTGGATCTGTGGAAATATTATGCGAAGAAATATGGCTAAGGAACATCTAGAAGTGAAAACCTCAGGAACAAGGCCCCCTTGCCCAGACAAGAAAATGAGGTTATTAGATTTGATTCCCGGAGAATATGGTCCAATTGGTTTTGGGGCCTTGTCTGTTCGAATAACCTCATTTTTACCTGAAATCAGCACTAAAATAAGTCAAGATAAACATGAGAAAGTTAAACTATCAATCCTGCATTATGAGAGACAAGATCGAGCTAAAGTACAAGAGCCAAAAACAAGCCCACAAATACTTAAGAACATTTGCCATGCATTTAAGATAATTAAGTAAACCACAATCAATAAAAACTTGTGTTCTAAATAAGTAGATTAATTACATGACAAAATCATATTCAGATTTTACAATCACATAGCATTTTTGAACAAATATTCAACGTGATTTATTGCATGTCCTAAGATTGATGAGATAATGAATTAGCTAAAACTGTAAGTTATTTTAGCCCTGAGTAGCAGAAATCATATATAAAGAGTGGTTGTGCCACTCCAAAACCTTCATCTGACTCAGATCCCACCCCTAAACCTCACTTTAGCCACTTCTTGCCCTAATCTTTATAGATAATGACATTTCCTCCTCCCACTTCTGTTGCTTATCTTGCTTCCATTTTAAGAATTTATATTTCAGCCTTGATTGGCGAAGGAAGTGCCGATCTGTTCTGGTGCATACTACCATTATCTGGAAAGATAACAATTACTGCTCCGCAAATTAAAACTAGAAATTTAGTATTTATGTAGGTGCATTCCAATAGAGACAATTCATCAACTGAAGTTACAGAAAGCGCTAACAATTTGATTGGTTATAGAGGAGACAAAAAGAACCATATTATGAGACATCGTTTTATCATATTCACTGTTTTACATCTATCATTGATCAAGTTGTTTCTTTCATATAAATATACAGATAACACAATTTCAGAGAGATTTTAATTTGTTAAGTGACTGCAGATTCTGTAGAGAAATTTTGATGCTGCAAACAAGCAACCCACTGGAACCAATAACTCGACCATTTTAAAAAATGAGGAATGAGCAATTGTATATCATTACAAACATGAGTATCCAACTCCCATAATTTCAGATTCCAACATATTCAAAATAAACTAGAACTGAAAAGTTGCTCACTAGAATTAAAGAGCAACATTTCATAAATTTCGGTGGAAAAGGACGCTCATATAGCAAAATGCTTCTCTTATGGAAAAACCCTTCTGGAATATGGTGTGGCCCTGACACTACAGCATGGAGACCATATGTAATTCAGAAGAGAAACTATTATGAGAAACAACTATAAACCATGCAGGAATGACAATCACGGCAAGTTTCAAGTGCTCTCTTTTATGGGAAATTTTTCATTATTGCAAGATCTATACATCAATTTGCAAACAATGCAAACAGAGAGACAAATACTTTAATAAAACCATAAGCAGGCCAGAACAAAAAAAATGGAGAGGAAAGAGAAAAACAGGCCAATAAGATAATCATGGTAGTCGAATACTCCCTCTAATCATCGAGAGTCTCCAATCAACACCTTGTCTGAAAAGAAATTGGATATCAATAAACTTCTATAGGCATATAATCTATAGTAACAGGTTCCATGCAATGGTAAATTTAAAACATGTTGCATCGCGTCCACAAGCCTCCCAAAGAAAGAATCCAAACCCAAAGAAGGTAGTGTTTCCCAAAAATTTAGAATTCAAAATTGATGTTGTAACTAATGAAGCTTCACTGCACAAAATCTCAGGATGAGAAATTAGTGATGCTAATTGATACATGTCAATAAAATATAAGATTTTTCCTTCATAAAGAAGATGGTATAATTAATAAGCAGAAGGTGAGGGATTACTTATGGTATTTTGTGATGTTATTAAAATGTTAAAGTTCCATTGTTTAAAAAGGTTGTATGAGCATGACAAACAAGTGATAGGAAACGAAAACACCACCAAGTTTAGTCATTTTCACAGATTTTTGCATGCATGTATAAGTATTTCTTTTTTTTTTACGAAATATGTGTAAGTATTTCTATCATTTCGATATATGTTATTTTCAAAATTCCAAGTTCTTTGATTATGTTTTAACAAAATAAAAAGAATGAAAGGGCGTGCAAAATGCTTCTGCACAGTTCTCTCTCTCTCTCAAGGGACAAGTGATGAGCCGACACAGACTTACGAGGAGTGTCTGAGATGCTCATGGTGGAGGAGGCAAACAAGGGTGGAGTGAGTTGTTTTCTTCTTGTGGTCCGATGATGAAGAAGCAAAATGGAGCCTCCGGCAGCAAGAGCGAGGCCCGCAGCAGCGGCACCCTGCGCGGAGCCCATGCCCATGGCCTTGGTGCTGCTCGACAATGCTTTCTTAAACTCGATGATGGACGCCAAGGGAGAGGAGGATGGGCCAATACACCACGCCATTGTTGCACTGCCCTGCCTACCCACCGACCCACCCGCTTCTCCTATGCTTCTGCTTCAAAGCATCTGGTCTAACCTCTGAACTACTCTCCTCTACATATGGTAAGAGTCAAAAGTCTCTGCTCCCGCGGGACCATTTCCTCCTTTCACTCTATTTAATGGTTATTATTTTTATCCAACTGGGGTAACTTTGTAACGGTAGGGTAAGGGGGCAATATGCCGGGTCCGTACCGGTCTTGGTCCTAGCCGGGCCCGGAGTAGCATTCTCTTAGTTGGGCTAAGCAAAAAAGAAATGAAAAAAAAAAAACAAATAGAGCTGGACCAGGCAAAATCGGGCTGGCACTGTCCCGAGCTTGGCCCTCGGGCTGTAGTTTGTGGCCATGCCTACTTTTTAGGGCCATCTTCTAATTGCTACTTATTGCTGATCATTGATATTCTCTCTTCTCTTTACCTTATACCTTACGCTAGGTCCTAGCTGCTCCTGGCTTCTACCTATTTTTCTCATTCTCTCTATCTAAACTTATCCCTATGTTTCTCACTCTCTCTATCTAAACTTATCTAAGCCATTTCTATAACTTTTTTTTTTTTTTTACGATGTCTTTTTGCTTTTTTTATAAGCTTTCCCTCTTTCTTTCACTCCCCCTTTGATTCTAGGTTTTTTCCCATACTCCTTTGTTCTCTCTCCCTTTTACGGACAAGCTTTCTATGCTTTCCCTACCGCATAAAATTTTATATGCTTCTCCCTTTCCAATTGTTCATTTTGAATGGAGGGCTGAGATGGCCTCAATCGCAATATCACGTCTCTCGACTATTTTTTTAACTTTTTTTACAAACAATTTTGAAACCAAATTTTGGACGTCCACTCCTCCATTAAACTCACACCTGTAAAAAATATAAAAAACTATTCTCAATAAAATAAAATGACCAAAATACACTTGAAAGTTTCAAGGGTATTTTGGTTATTATAATTTATCAAAAAATATTTTTATTATTATTTTTAGGTGCGTCTCATTGAGGTGATGGCACGTACCAAATTTTATATTCATATAATTTATAACAAAAAAAGATAAAAATAAAATACTCTAAGGCATCGGATCTTAGATCAAACGGTCATGGGCTCACTTGATCTAAATTGGATGGCTGGATTGGGGGGAAGTATATATCTTATTGTTGTAAGGGAAGTATAGAAATGTTTCCCTCTTTTTTCTCCCCATCACCCTCATTTCTCCTACCTTTAGCTCTTATATTTTTCTTTGTTGTTCTTTTCTCTAATTCACTGCTATCTTTTTCGCTCTTTTGCTCCAGTCTTCCAAGCTCAACGACCTCCTTTCTGTATCCAGAGAGCCAATAGATTGAGTTAGGGGGGTCTCTCCCCCCTCCCCTTCCTCTTCCTCCTCATCTTCTTTTTTCGTCTCCTCGCTTCACCCCTTCCATACCCCATGCACTTTCTTGCCCATCCTCTTCCACTCGTCTCCATCTTTCATTGTCGATCTCTTCTTGGTACACAACCACTTTGTCCCTCCCCCTTCGCCCTTCTTTCCAAATGAAATTAATGCTTAATATAGGATTCTCCCCTCCTTTTGGAGATCGGTATCCCATAGTGGTCTTCTCTGGCCTCTGGGTTCCCCTTTGGGTCTTGAAGACCCTTGTATCTAATTACTTAAGTTAATGCCTAAGATGGGGCACGGTCCATCAGGTGGCCGTAGGAAGCTCTATCGTGGTTTTTCAGGTACTATATTGGGGGGCTTGAAATTCATATATGTAGGAAGATACATGTGCTTTTGGAGTAATTAAAGTGAGCATCATCCTCCCCCTCTCTCTTTACTGTTGGGATTATGTGGCCTATAAAAGCCTTATGAGTGATTATAAAATGAAATAATATAATGGAAGATGAACTTAGTAGGAGTGTGGTCTCTCGTGGACCATACTAAGCAAACGATGTTTGCTAATATTGGACTGTGCTTGACGATCTAGGCCAGTCGATTAGGAAAAACACATGTTACTTGAGCATAAAGAACAAACCGATAAGGGTTATAATGGGTTAACCCTTGATGAGGTTGGAGAATATGCCCGGATGAGTGAGCTGAGAGACTGTGTAACCCTTCTGTGTGATGGTGGCTTACAAAGATGGGGGACCTGTAATTAACAAATTGGGATTGCGATCTCTTGGTTCATCGGCCAGACTTTGACGACCCACTAATGAGCCCATGCTTGGATTGTGGGTCATGGGAAACAGTGGGTCGGTCAAATAAAGCAAGTATGATCCGTAGTCCACAGTTGAAGGTGGAGTGCCCCATGATTGTTGATTCAATTCCCAAACCATATGGATCATTTTCTTATCAAATTAATTTAATTGTGTTTGTTTTATGTTTTGAATATTTGATTTTTTTATAAACCACTGGTATTTTATTTATAATTTTTGGATTTATAAAATTAAATATATTGATTTTACAATAGTATAAATATTTAAATACTAGAAATTATTTTATAAATTTTAATACATAAAAATATTATGGGGGCCCATTGTGCACATGAACCCATCATGTTTCTAGAAGGTGGGGTCCATATGTGCCTCCCATTGGTGGCACGCCCCACCCCTTGGATTCCTTTTATTAAATTTTGGTAATGTTGAATTGTCATATGTGATCAACTATGACTTGGACCATATATTGACATAATTTAGAAGTAAATATTGACTTAATATATCTTTGATAGATTTTTATGGAAAATATGAGTAGAGATGTACTATTTTATGGAATGCACAATATTTAAGTAAGATTAATTTGACTTATTTTCTATTAATGGGGAAATGATTTAGGAAAGGGAGATAATGGTTCATGCACATTCCATAATATTGATGGCTCATCTATAAATCGATGACTCAAATCTCTCACCTCATAAGTTTCCTGATCAATGGTCCACATTTAATCTCACAAGAAGAGACAAACTATGGGAAACCCTAAGAACTCCTAATCCCAAATTTCTTTATAAATAGGGGTGCTCCCCCCTATTCTCTGCACACAATCTGTCTAACCTCACCCCCTCTCTACCCCTTCACTCTCCTACCCATAGAGGGGGCACGCCCCAACCCTAGGGTCCCCTCCCACTTTCTCTCTCATCTTATATGCTAAGGGTTGGGAAATATGCCAAAAATATTTTAGGGTAGGATCTAGGCTTGATGAGCTACAAAAGGATTGTATGAAATAGTTTGGCCAAAATTTGTTTTCCCGGGTCGAGATTAAAGCTAGACCGTTGATCCCGTGCCATTGGATGATAGTGACTCGGTATGGGGTGTAATAAGCTCGATTGAGGTAATCTTCAGCGCTCTTCCTTTCTATTTCTTGTAATCTTATGTTTTATTCTCAAGCATAGTGCATATTTATTCCAATGACATCAAGTTGTTAAGATCTTGGTGTTATTGTTATGTTGATTTTATTTTAAAGTTTATCTTGTTGTAATAAATATCACATGCAAGTGATCTTTTGCCAAAACAAAAAGGGTGAAATAAATAAATAAATTATTCCCCGATAAAAGATCACATAGGTCTTACTTTTATTGGTATCAAAGCTATTGATACTTGATGCCATTAGTTTTGTTTTCTTTTTATTGAGTATAGATCTAGCTTGGGAATGAGATATAAGAAAGCTAACTTTTGTGGTCAATAAAAACACCTATGGTTAAGAATTATTGAAATATTCCAATACCAAAAAGGCACTCTGCATAATGGGTATTCTAGGCTATTTTAGAGCAGTGATATGAAGAAAATAATGAGGTCTTTTTCTCTTATATGCTTCAATGATATTGTGTGTATTTGAGAGTAGAATTTACCGACAAAATTTAAGTGGGAGATCATAAAGGAATTGAGAGTGATGGAATTGTCAATGAATGACCCTGCAAAATCCAAGAACTGTCCATTGAATTCCGTGATTTTTCCCACCAATTATATGATTTAATTTCTTACTGAAATTTTATTGTGACTCATAAAATTGAGTCTACATTCAAATAAAAAAGGTTCCATCAAGAAATTTATTGTGGTTTGAAAGGTATGATCAATTTATTGAAGGGTGCGTAAGTGCTTATTTTTTTAACGAAAACTATTTCAATGATTTGGAAGTCATCGTTTTATTTCTATTATTAGCAAAATGTTTGATGGTCCACATTAAGTTTTTAGACATCCATTCTGAGTCTATTTCCTAATAAAATTTATTTGAAAGAGAAATATATTTGGGAAGAGAGGAATAAAATTTTGGATTGAAGATAGGTCATCCTAAATTTTCTGCAATTTGGAATGTTCTTTATTGAGACATAAATAATTATATTTATCAAGCCTACTTAACAAAGTGATATGACGCTTATGAAAATAGTTATCATTATGTGTCTAATTTCAAACAAAATTTGTTTGAAAGGGAAACTCCTTGAGAGGAGAGAAAAAAGACAATTTTACTAGATAGTGTTCATCTTCAAATTTTGCAGTGTGATCTATTTTGTGATGTAAATATCACTTATTTATTTCTCTGAAGAAATGTATTATTTGGGATTCAAATTGTAATGTTATGATTTGGTTTTGAGTCTAGTTTTCAACAAAAAGGATTTCAGAAATAAATTCTTTGAGGATTGAGAGAAATTTTTTTTATTGAGAGGTGCTCAATCTGATCTTTTATTGAGAAAATTGCATTGTAATGTAAATGTCACTAAAACGAAGACTCACTAATGATATGATTTAGGGATGGAACTGAGCATTATTTTATATTTTTTACTCTATTGCAATACTAAAAAGGATTCGGAGATAAATAATTTATAAGTTGAGATATATCATATTTTTATTGTGGGATGCTCATATTTTATGCTGCAGTAAATTAAAAGATGTGGCATGTTATGGCGCATATTTGGATTCCTAATTATGGAGATTTTTTTAATGCTCATTTTAAAAGGTTTTATAGTGTGTCATGAGTATGGTTTATTATAGTACAACTTCAGAAATATGTAATACAGAGTTGGTAGGATATGATACTTTATATGAAGAGTATTCGATATGAGAGTAGCAAAAATAAGAAAAAACATAATACTCTAAAAGCATCTTGGTTTCT